AGTTCCCTTTCTTCACCTCCATACCCTTTCTTGTTCTTCATCACATGGGAAACATCAATGGGCTCTGTGGATGACACCAGCATGCTCCAGACAGTGTTGACTCCACAATGTTGTCTGTAATTTATGTGCTGCCCTAGACTGTCTTGACCTCACCTACTACTAAGAGTTCCATATACTTCGGCCACCATTGCTCCATGTTCTGTCATCTATACTGTCACTCCCTCCCTTGGATTAATTACTTAGTTCCAGAACTTTCTCTATGGATTTATCCTGATAGAAACCCTGATTAGACTGTAGGGGACCCATCAAGACTGGCTTTTCCCATTGCTTCCAGAATTTGAAGAGGAGCAGTAGTAAGCCATAGACTCTTGCTTTCTTAGTAGCTGTCTAAAGAGATTAGGTTGTATAGTTCCCTGTGAGCATAAATTATCACTCAAGTAAGCAGGAATAGGGCAGTGTAAGTGCATCCATTCCTCTCATTCTTTCTTCTAATTATCTGCACAATTGTCCAGAGAGCTCCGTAAGGCCCAGCCATCAGCCTCAGGGGAGAAGTGTTCTGCTCAGTGAAGCATCACTGTGCTTTGCTGTTTTCTCCCCTTCCTTCATGCCTCACTTCTTTCTTCCCTCATTGGGACTCCTCTCGAATTGACTTTCCCAATAATGCCTTAGCAATTAATGCTTGTGTGATTTTGAGGGCTCACGGGAATTGTGCCGAGCTACCTCTGAACTACAGTTCCCAGGATCTCCGGTCTGCTGTCTTCTGGTCAAGCTTAGCAAAAATAGAATGAACTAATGGGAGATGGGTGAAAGGAAAGAGAGAATCCATGTATTCCCCATCCTCTCCATTTTTAGGGACATCACAAGTAGAACACAAGATTTTCTTCTGTTCTGTTAGTTCTTGAAGTGGGAATAGATTCCTACCACTATTCATCTTTGAGTTGCCTTAAAACATTTCTTACTTTTTAGTCAATTTCTTATATTAGAATATATCTATTTTTAAAATGTAATAAATACATCTATTTTAAAAGATCATGCCATGATCTTTTTTTTCCTGATTAGACCCTCATATAAAATGCAACTAAAAAAGTGCAATTCTAGTTAACTGTGTTTGTGGCATGATAGAAACCATTTTTTGCCTGTGTAAGATACATATATGGTATATCATATACATATATATATATGCATACACATATATATAGAAACATATATTTCTAAAAATAAGAAAATGATAAAAATTATCATAAGGCTATTCTATGGATTATCAGAAAAGAAAGCAAATTACTATTTTAGCATTTTAAATACCATCACTTCTTATGAAGTATGATTAAAATACAGTGAATATTTAAAGAAAAAAATAGCATTATACTAGAAAGCACAGTACCATAAATCTCCCACAAAATACTGTTTTTGTCCCTTTGTGAGAGTCCCAGAAAGCTTCTTTGGTAAGTATATTTTTATTGGTTGCCTTGATGGTCTGAATTGGCTCAAATCATTTGAAGCAATTTCTGTCGAACAAAATTTTTACAGTGTGCCCACATCCATCTTGTTCACTATATCTGTCACCATGTGGCCATCTTGCTCTTCCTCAAAGTCAAAATGACCATGGGCAGTAAACATTCTAAATCTATAGAACACAAAGGCAGCTGCAGCAGTACAGCCAAAGACACTCAGGAAAGAACATATCCGGAACCACTTCAGAAAGTGGCAAAATAGATGAGCTAAGTTTTACAATACGTGCTCAAAAATATAGGCAATACTTTAAGGGGGGTTGATTGCAATGAGTCTTTTAATGTAGTAAGCTTTCTTTTATTTTAAACATTTATGTTTTGGTCACCCCTCATAAAATGAGTAGTCTTTTGCTAACAGCTATCAATCCCAATTAATAAGAGAAAATGTCCTACAGTCACATTGTAAGCCACTTCCCTCACATCTTCACAATAGCCACTGAAACTTAACTCTTGCAGCAGGCAAGTTAGTAGTGTTAGAATGGGCATGTCAGGTTTCATTAGTTTCTGTACTTCTCAAGGTGCTTACAGGACATAAACATTATGCCCTTACCTCTATTCCAGGTGCTACTGAGAACAGATATATTTTTCTCCTGCAGGGCATATAGTATTCTGAAATTGGTCTACATGTGATTTTTTTGAGTGTTCTTTAGTGGTTCAGTAATGATTTTTGGGATCTCCTTCAGTAACATTGAATGGGTATAACACAGCATGCTGCCCGAAATACTTCAGTATCTAGGCAGAGAGATGAATGCTGAGAGCTTTGCCTCTGAATCTGGGGAGGAAAGTGGCCTCTCTCCTGGAAAATGTGTGTGGAATATGTGCACTATGTGAACACCTATTCATGGCCTGCCAGCTATCAGAGTAGCAGGAAGGAATTGTGACAGGGAGCTGGAGTACAGTGAATCCTTGGAACAATTTGATTTTTACTGCCAAATTGTTTATACATATGCTGAAAAACCAAACTGTATCATTTTTCAGACTGTTTCACAATGGATGCCTTACAGCAGGCTGAATGCTACTAAAACCTGTACCAGAATGAAGGCCCAAGACCTATGTGTGAAATCCTTCAGGTCACAGAAGTGCATGAACCCAGGCTTTCTGTGTTCTCCCCACTATGTGACTTCAGCCTCACATGCACTGGCTTTTATCCCTATCTTGAAAAGCATACACAAAAGAATCCATTATTGTTAAGAGCCAAAGAGAGGCTCAGGGCCACTGGATTCTAGAGGACATGCTTGAGTACCACCAGATGGCCTTTCATGAAAGGACTCCATCCGGACATAGAGAATAGATGTTTCGGAAGGAGCACTATTTGTTCATACAGACTGTCTGAAGTCATGCTAAAGTACTTCTGCATATATTGCTAACTAATGGTGTTTCCATGTCTACCAAATAACCCCCACACTACCCCGTCCTTGTAAGGACTTAGTCCTCAGTCAAATCTCCCCATTACTACTGTATTGGTCTGTTTTCTCATGCTATTGTAAAATATCAGAGGTTGAGTGATTTGTAAAGAACAGATTTATTTGGATCTCAGTTTTGGTGCCTGGAAGGTCAAGATTGGCAGCAATGTTCACTTGGTTGCTCAACAGTGCCCCACAGGCTGCATCACAACCTGGAGCAGAACTGCACACTTGTAGAAGATGCCAGGCATGTAGGGTAGACTTGACACACACCCACCTATGCTCAGGAGAACTCACTCGCCTGTGAGACCCCTGAGGCTGGTGCTATCGACCTGCTCATCTCCTGAGAGGTCCGCTACTTCAAGTAACCACCACCTCTCTACACCACTACACTGAAGACAGAGCTTTGAGTACAGAACTTTTAGGGAATACACACCAACCATAGCCAAACCCACATACCTACAAACCCAAGGACTAAAAGTGAGGCATGGCAGGAGGCCTTCAGCACCCTGTCATAGTCACAGGATGGAGTGTGCCTTAAATTTTTAAATAGTCTTTCCTACAGAGAAGACCCAGAACAGTTTTAATTGATTTGTCTCAGAAGTTTATTACTTCCTCAAAGTGGCTGAAATTCTGTTTAATAGGGCAGCTCATCTCAGACACCAAAAGCTGTTATTGAGTCCAAATATTCCACTATCTTTAGAACATTAAGATACACCTTCTTGATCTGGCATTGCTGCATGCCTACAATTCCAACATTTGGGAGACTGAGGCAGGAGGATTGGTGTGAGTTTGAGGCCAGTCTGGAATACATACGCAAATCGAAGGCGAGCCTGCTACCCTACCTAGCAAGATCCTGTCTCAATGGAAAAAAAAATGATAAGCTTCCTCCAGCATTCACACCAAAAAGAACACACCACACAATTAGACCATTTCCCTGGGGCCCGTTCAGCCTACTTAGGGCATCTCCTCACCAGCATTTCCTGCAGTGCCCCAGCAGAGAATGAAAAAGCAGCACGACTGCACAGTGAGGAGGCCAGAGCCTTACACACAACCTACTCCAGCCCCAGCTGTGTGATGCACGTTTATGTGACAGTCTGTTTGCTCTCCTAGATGAATCACAGAAAATTAGAGATGGGGAAGGGCCTATTAGTTCGTCTATTCCATACTCTGGCAGCTCACAAACCCTCCCCTATGCTCTGTTTCCATCCCAGGTTGATTTTAAATAGCATGAGATACAGACAGAGCTGCTTCCAGAATTCCCCCTAGTGTGTCTAGCAAATGTCCAGTAGTTGATGTTTACTTCCTCCAATTGTGTATATGCAGTACTGTTATGATTGATCATTGGGTCCTAGCAGTGCAAAAGCCCCTGGATATAATTAGAAAGTGGGGACTTTCTATGTTAGAAAAAAAAATCTATTTCAAAGAACTTGGCAGAGAAGAAAGGAAGAACAGGGCCTCATGTTCCCTCATTTCAACTTCCTTTTATTTATATTCTTATTTAGTATTGTTCAGCTTTTGCTTTTTTTAAACAATAGCCAGAACTATGACTAAGCAGTGTTCTTTCTTTGGTTTCCACATTTACTTTGTTTCAGAAGTTTTAACTTTAAAATATTTAATTGAAGCAATTGTATCTATTCAAGGTGCACAATATGATAAAGTCATACGCTGTTTAATGATTATCGCACTCATTTAACATCCGTCACAACATTAGGTCAACATTTTGTACATTACATCCCCTGAACTTTCTTCAGTACTCGCTGCAATTGTGACTAAGTAGAATTATTGGTTTGGGTTTCCACATTTACTTCTGCTTCACTTTTTAATTTGATTACTCATCTCCTTTTTACATTAAATGCGAGTTTCCAACCCATCACTGCAATGAAATCAAAAGCTAATCAAGTATCCTAACAGTTAACCTATTTCACTTCCTAATCTTTTTTTGTCTTTTGAATTTTGTCTAAATATAAAAGCAGAACAGTACGCCCCTCACATCCTTTCCGGATCCTCTTAAATGAGCGCGCGCCTTTTGCTCTTTGAGGACTCAGGCAGCGGCTCTCAGGAGTACCTTCCAAGAATCTAGGCTCACCTTTATCTGCCCTTTCAAGCAAGGCTCGCTGCACACGGAGCGCACTACTCCACTTTTGTTCATCTGTATTTTGTAATCGTCGATGTTCAGCACACCTTCGTGCCAGGTTCCGACGTGCACATAGTCATAGCGATTCGCCTCTGTGTACTGCAAATTCATGATATCATACCTGCAAAGAAAGCCACATTCGAGTTGCATAAGTAGGGACATACTATGGAAAGCAAAGAACTTAGTACCTAGACTTTTTTTTTTTACTGTATTGACAATTTTTATTTATTTTTTAATTTTAAAGAGAATAAAAAAATGCCTTAGCAATGATATAAAATTTCACTAAACAAAACGATAGGAATTCAACAGTGGTTGTTATTTTGCATATAGTTGGCTAAACTTTATTAAAGAGAAAAAGCTAGAAAAATCGCACGTCCCAGCACTAGCTACTATAAAAAAAAATAGTTTGATTATGTTTCCTCTGACTTTCCAGAATGTATATGCATTTCCTAAAGAAATATGCATCCGTATTTTTTTAAAAAATATTACTCTCATCATATTCTCTGCCTGTACTCCAAAAAAAGTAATTCTCTTTGCACCACGTTGATCATTTCCTTCAAATCATTATTCATTAAATTATTTTATGAACAAGTAGTCCATGAGAACATTAACTTATATATTTAATTCTTTATATTCCAAATATCCCTTCTCTCCTCCACTTTTCATTTGCAGATTACAAGAGGGAGTTTTCATTGAGCCTGAATTTTTTTTTAGGTTCTACTAGAATAAAAAACCTGAGAAAGACATATTTAATTAGTAAGGATGTTGAAAAGTTAGTATCTCATACATGAACATTATAACTAATCTTTTTCCCACTTAAGACAAACATTTTTCAAGTCAAATAACTGGTATTAATAGTTTCAGTAATTTTAAATAGAGAAATGTGAGTAAAGGTGAAGTTTAGATCTTTTCCCTGTAGTAATGTATAACTTTTATTAAAATAAATCTTTACTATAGTCACAGCATGTTCAGAGGGCCAGATTCCATTTTATCAGGGAAGAAAACAGGAGAATTTCTCAAATGCAATGGAAAAAGAAAAGAGGCCCTGACATCAGATTGTGTGGGCTGGAGCCATTCTAACACTTCAGTAGTGTCTAGGAATGTCCTTAGGCTCTTCAAGCTTCTCAGTGTAGGGTATGTCAAGAAAGTTATTTAAAATTGGGATAAATGTGTGGCTTCTAGGGCCTAGATCTTGCCATCTCAAAATCCACACTCTAGAATGCTACCCCTCGAGGTGTTAATACTGGAGGCAGATCCTTGGAGAGATGATTAGGTCATGAGTTCAGGTTCCTCATAAATGAGATTTGTGTCCTTACCAAAGCAGAATCCCCCCAAAACCCTGCCTTTCCTCTTCCCCTTCCGCCAAATGACACAGTCAGAAAGTGCCATCTGTGGCACTTGAATTTTACCTAAGTATGTCAGAAAGCCGGAGCTCAGTGGACATCAAACCTGCCGATGACTTAATATTGGGCTTCCTAGCTTCTAGAATTGTGAACAATACGCTTCTATGTTTATGAGCCATATAGTCAGCTGTATTTTATTATAGCAGACCCAGATAGACTATGACAATATATAAAGCAAGTCACAGAATCATTCATACTTGTATTTCTATAAATACTTTAACATACTCTGGTTACTTCCATTTCTATAAGGAAACTGAGGAAAATATTTGTGTTGGCATGGACATTTATCTCTCAGTCTCTTAAAAGTCTCTGGCTCTCTTGCATCCTTTTGCCATGTTGTTATTCACTCCAAGCAAGCTGTAAGTCGGGTGGCAGTGTGCCCGAGCTGTTTTGTTCCCTTCTTACTGGGTCCACAGAGGGATTCTTTTTCTGCTACACCTATGCAGAGTCCATGCCCTCCTGGGCCAGCATGAGTCATGGCTTCTAGCTCCGTATGCCTGACTCAAGGAAGTAGAACTTAACTCATCAAACTGCATTTCTCTTCCTCATCTTCTCTTCTAACCGACCCTGGGCGCTTTCCCCTGCAACCCTCACTGAGACCCACAATCTCTCTCTGTAATGCTGTATCCAGTCAGTTTAATGTGGCTTCTGACTGTCATTGGCTGTGTCTGGCCTGATTCTTTATTAGACGATGGTTACCAGTTCATTGGCATTTCTGCCTCAACTTAATATGTAAATGTGTCCTGTTGTCCACAGGGTGTTTTCTGGTTTCTCCATATCCAGATTCTGGGAGTTTCTACAAATAGCTCCCTCCCAAAAGAAAAGAGGATGTGGGGAGAGAACAAAAGTTTTCCTTCACTGGACGAGCAAAGTTTACCAAGAGAGAGAACAGAGAATGATGCACCTGGAGCTCATTATTCATATAAATCTCTGGCCTGTAAATCAGTTACCTAAGAATTATTTCAACTCCCCCAATCACTGTTTCATAAGGAAAATTGGTTCACACTTGATTAACATTTAAAAACTAAAAATTCACAGTATTGTTGGCATGAAAACACATTTTAAGAAGTCTCAAATACTAGAGTAAATAAAAAAAAAAAAACAAGAAGAAGTAAATACTAAGTAAATACTAAAAGATACCAAGTGGAGAAATATTGACTTGCTGAAATGCGTGCACAGTGTGTGTTAATGAATGCTGCTCTTTCCTCTCGACCTCAGGCTTCCTGTGGGGCATGTTAGCCTTTATTTGGAATATCCTCATGCTGTAAATTACACTGCACAGCACCCTCTCAATGCATCAGGTTTATGTTGTGTGATGATTAACTAAAGTAATTACAAGAGGGACCCAAAGCAGAAGTGACAGAAAGGCAGGAGCTAGAAGCCACCTGAGGGGGTTGGAGCAGCAGCTAAACAGAGATTAAGCTGGCCACCTTCAAGCAGGAGGAAGTGACCCTTGAAAAGGCACCTAGGGGAAAGCTTGTAATTTGAATATGTAATTAAACATGAAAGAGAAGCAAGCTAAAATTATGCACCTATGTTTTGGATAACTTTGAGAGGGGAAAGAAGGAGGAGCAAACTTGAAATTTATTTGGCATAAAAATGCATCTGACCTTTATACTAGAGACTTTGTATGCTTTCTTTTGCAAATTGTGTGGGAAGATTTACATTGCAAGTATGACCTGGTACTGAGCCTCTCTTCTGATGGAATTCAAGATTATTAGAAGGGCAGGTGGTCCCTCTAATTCCAGGTCAATTTCTTTCTCCTGGTACCATGTCCCAAGGTGCCCAGTACCCCAAAGCCTTCTACGTTTCTTATGCCCTGGGTTAGCCAACCCACTCACATTCTAATCAAAAGCTGCTCCCACCTAACTAGCAGCTGAGAAGGACTCCTGTAAATTCATCACTTTGATTGTTGACAACGACATTTGTATTCTTCCTAGAGCTGTTGGATTTTTTACAGGGAGATTCCCACTTCGTTTCCATAGCAGATTATCCCTATGTGGAACTTGAGGAGTCCGTAGAAAAAAGACATACATGGAGAATTACTTAGGGTCACACAGTCTCTTATAGCAATTTTACCATGACATTAAAATTGTTGTAAGAAATTTTGCCTAATTTTAGGATAGCTAGAAAGCAGCATGATGTGATAAAAGATCACAAGCCTCAGAGTCAGACTCCTCTGCCCTCACTACCTGCGTTCTGTGTGACTTTAGGTGACTTGCTTAGTTTGTCTGACACCCAATTTTATTTTACAGAAAAGAAAGGTAATGATACACTAGAGCAATGAAAATTAAATCACTTGATACTCCATTTCTAGAAAGCTCTCACTCTGCAAAATCATAGCCTGACAAATAATAGGGGCCTACAAGGTTGTGAGAGTATTCTGCAGAGGGCAAGCTAGAGCCTTTTCTCTTTCTGCCGAAGGCTTTAAGTCTACTATCATTCTAATTATCCCTTTCCCAAGAAAATTTATGTGACTGAAGCTGACATAATTTCTGTGTACCAGGCACCTAGTGGGCTCATGGGAGGCATCAAAACAAGGTTGTGTGTAAAGTGTCTTGGGGGGAAGTGTGTGTGTGTGTGTGTGTGTGTGTGTGTGTCTGTGTCTGTGTCTATGTCTGTGTCTGTGTGTGCATGAGCATATTTAGCTAGTTTTTTTCTTTTTTGTTAAGTCTTTGAAAGCCATTACAAGCCACACCCTAGAAATAAAATTCTTTCCATTATCTTCCAGAATGCAGGACAACAGAAATTTAAGTTAGTCCAAGAAAAATGGATGTGTATATAGGATATAGTTCTCTTCATTTACTACTTCAAGTGGATACAATATCTATGACATTTTCTGACTAGAATAGCATGGTGAGTGATCAATCAGAAAGACACAGCATGGTGCAGACAGTGCCAGAGAGTCTGCTATTGGCCAAGTGCAACGTCTTCATGGTCTCTTGGACTTGCAGACATGTTCCAGGCCTTCCAAGGGAAGGATCAGGTGACACTTGAGTAAGGGAGGTAGCACTGGAATGACACAGGTTCTTGGGTTACCCAGAAGTGCTCCAGTGTTTTAAGGACCAGTGTGGTGTTTAGTAATAGCCCTCTGATGCCAACTTGGGGTTTTAGTGTTGCAGCTGAGTCCATCTTCATGAAGTCGGACACCATGCCACCAAAGGGAGCCCTACTTGCCACCATCCTGCACTGAAGGGTCACTGTGTTACCCAGGGCCATTAGAGAAACAGTTGCCTTACCTTCCAGGTGCGTCCCCTTTCTCATCAAACCACACCTCCTCTCCAGACACTCCAATGAAGGAGGACTTGATGAGGAAGTCCAGGAGCTTGCGGCCGTCGATGGGCTGCATGGCGTCACAGAGGCCCACGTGGCCAGGGCAGAGGGCATGGTGCATATTCTGCAGCCCGTGTGCCATTGCGTAGATGGCATTAATAACAAAGCCCATCTTACTGTCCTGGACGTAGTTTTCTTCTAAGCTTTCATTGCCTGTAATAGTAAAAAATCGGTCTTACCAAGGTCACAGTCACTGAGATTGTATCTGCATGCTTACCTGTCGAGAGGCTTCAGAAAGGGAGAGAGGGAATGCCCAGGTGAGTAGGCTTTCACTTGTGACCAGCAGTGCTACATTCCATCTGCAAATAGCTCATTCAGTTTCATTTTCTTTACTCAGTAATGGATTTATAGGATACAGAAGGAGTTCCATACAAGGTGAAAATGAAGACTGTAAACTATGCATGATGGTGTACACCTACACTTCTAGCACTCTGGAAGGCAAAAGCAGGGGGACTGTGAGTTCAAACCCAGCCTATACAATTCAGAGACTTTGTAAGACAGTCTCTGAAAACAAGAACAAAAATAGATAAATAAACATCCAGGTTTATAGTTCAATGCAAAGGCTTTGAGTTCAGTTTCAAGAACTGAAAAATATTTATTCATATTAGAGAATCCGTAAAGAGCAATAAATATAACTTACTCTCTTTTGGCTCTTAGGAATTTGCCTGCAAAGTCTCTCCCTGTCTCATGATACTGGAAGCACATTCCTTTATTCTCTCTGACAATCCGAAATACACGATAAGTCAGTGTTTGCTTTCTCTAGCCCGTGATATTTTCTTTTGGTAATCCCACTGCTTTTATCATTTCTAAGACCACAAAAATCCAGAGTTAGAAAAAGACATAGATATGAAATATCTTCTCATTTAAGGTTGGCAGTACATAAATATCTAAATAAAATTTTCTAATTATGAGCAGCTTGGGTGAAATAATTCTTTTTTTCTTTTCTTTCTTTTTTTTCACTTATTATTTGGTACAGGGTCTCACTATGCAGCTTGGACTCCTCCTGTTTTCAGCCTCCCCAGTTCTGGGATTATAGGTGTGCATCACCAAACCTGGACTGGGTCATTGGATCAGTGAGCCCCAAGGACGGGCCCAGCCCACAACATGCAGGACAGGGTATTAAACCCTGGTATGAAATATTTCTTTCTTTTTTCTTTTCTTTTTTTGGGGGCTGGGCGGGGGGGAACTAGGGATTGAGCTCAGGCCCTTGTGCTTGCCAGGCAAGCACTTATTCTACTGAGCCATCTCCCAGGCTCCTGAAATATTTCACTCACAAATAATTTTAACCTTTAGATTTTATCTGTGAATTCTGAAAGTCTGGTGATCATTTCTGTCCAGGTAAGAGTTCCCTAAGAAGTAAAGAGCTTTGCAGGAAAAGTAGTGTGTCAAATCTAAGCCTCATATTGGAAGTCACAACTTTAGTACATGCATATGGATGAAAAAATTTGGAGACCATTTGCATTTCATAAAGTAAAAGTAAAAAGTTTGGGAAACAACATGGATTTGGTGTACACTGCTGGCATAATTCAGAGACTTTGCACTTGGTTTCAAAAGTATGTTTCTCTCTGAAGTAGGCTTTCCTTCACCCACTTTACTGACAATGAGGAGTCCATGGGACCTTTGTGTGCCCAAGTTATTAGAACCTGGGAGAGTTGGCAGATTCAGCTGCTCATGAGGTTGAGAACAACCAAGCCTGTCTGCCCTTCATACCAGTTCTCCTTTGTTAAATCTTAAGAATTAATAGAACACTGATGTCCATGGGCCAAAGGCTAGCAGAGGGCATATAAGAAGTTGGAGAGCTTGAAGTCTTTAGAAGAAATGGTAAAGTTTTGACTTTGATATTGAGCTTGGGATGAAAATAGAATTTTCTAAATAGTTCTATTTAAAGGATGCTCTACTTAGATGTACAATGTGCCAAAGATGGAACAATGACTATCCAAAGAGCAAGATGCAAAACATTCAGCCAGATTGAAGAGGAGAATTATTCAATTCCCATCTATATTCCAATTTTTCTTGAAAGGATACTAAACAGAAATTTGCTAATCTAATGATTTCCATATTTTCTTGAAAAGAAAACTTCCAGAAGAAAATGAGGATTAAGAGAAAAAGAGGGCATTTAAAAATCAAATTACATAGAACAAACATAGAAAGTTATAGAAGATGGACAGCAAAGATCCTTCATGCACAATGACAGTCACTGAAAAAAGGTAACTTATGTCTGTCACCAAGAGGCCCTGACCTTAATGGTGGTTTTTTTCCCCTCCGACTCGAAAACTCTCCCTCATCTACTACCCATCACATCTATGTGGGCTCCAGTCAAATGAACTATCATTTAGGAACATGTGGTATTGAGTTGGAAAATCATATGGCTTTTTTCCCCATAATTGTATTGATAAATAGCAATGAGATAGTTTCAAATCAAATTGGTAGGACAGTTTCAATAATTAACACATTGCATATATTCCTTCCAGTGGTTAATTGCTGTACAAGATGCAGACATGATATCCTATTTACAAACACCATTAAAACAAATCACTCTATTCATTAAGAGAAGGTAACTATACATCTATCCTAACCACTTTGAATACACAGATACGAAATGGACATTCATCTGTATACCCTTTTTTTGTTAAGTTCCATTATTTAAATATTATAGGTGTTTGCAGACCAAAATTAGATGAAAAGGAGGGCTGCAAGGAAAGTTAACATTTTGACCCTAATATTCCAAGGTCAGTTAAGACTCAGGACATATGAGAACTTCTATTGTAACGTCATGTAACCTGGCAGTGTCCCAAATTTTCTGATCAAGGAGATTATGGGCCCAAAGAGGAAAGTGATCGATGATGTAAAGTGTGCCTAAGGAGAGTCACATGGAGAGAAAACATTCTCTCAGGCTTTCACAGAGAGCACATTGGCCAAGCGATGGCCGTGACTCATCCACATGGATGACACTGACAAAGGTTCTACAATCTGAGGTACAGGATCTCAGGATAAATCCTGAGGGGACTTCACTGACCTTATCAGACCCAAAAGCTACAACTCTT